TGCCCCTTGTCCTGCCACTGCATGCTCTGGTAAAAAGTCTGTCCCCATCTTTCTTCTAAGCCTTCATTATATATTTCAAGGCCACAAGAAGGTCTCTGGACCTTCTCCAGGCTGAAGAGCCCTAGCTCTCTCAGCCTTTCCTCCCAGCAGAGGGGTTCCAGCCCTCATATCATTGCTGGGGCCTCTTCTAGCCCCGCTCCAACAGCTCCAGGTCTGTCCTGTGCTGAGGGCTCCAGAGCTGGACGCAGGACTCCTGGGGGGATCTCACCAGAGCAGAGCAGATGGGCAGGCTCCCCTCCCTCAACTTGCTGGCCATGCTGCTTTGGAAGCAGCCCAGCAGATGGTTTGCTCTCTTACACTCACGGACCAACACTGGAAAAGCATCACGAGAGACTAGAGCATCCCAGCCGTGCAGGCAAGGCCGGCTTCTGCCTGTCCCAAGCTGGTAGGAACATTGATGCTTATTTTGGGTTTGTCATTCAAGAGCAGGTATGGGAAGATCTCTCCTCCGGAGCAGAAAGTTGTGTTTAAGCAGTCGTCCTCTTACAAACCACCAAGAAAACATATGTTTGAATCAAGCAGAGGTCTGGGAGAACAGCTTTCACTTTTTCCCTACCTTTCCCCCAACTTGTGCTGGTCTGGACACCTCCACCTGCAGATGGGATACGGCCCGGACCACGAATAAATGCTTGGAAAAGGCAGCGACACGACAGCTTTCGAGGGCAGTAATTTTTCCCAAAATATTAGCAAATAGACAAGCAAACCCTCCAACCTCATAACTGCTTTAAAAAGAAGTGAAACAAAATTAGGTGAGAGGAAAAATAAAGGCATGGCCCATTAGAGATTGAAGGCTGGGATGAACGCAGGAGCTGCCGGGCGATGCAGAGCTGCCAAGACAGCACGGGGCCAGCTAAGACCATCTACATGGACAAGACCTGCAAACCCATATGGTTTATCTTCTCATTCCTCTTTTCCCCACATGCTTTGCTTGAAGCGGTTCTTTATTTGGATGGGCAGCGATGGATGATGATGCCTGCCCAGAAATGGCATGGCTCCGGTGGTGAAGGGTGGGCAGAGCTGCTGGGCCCACTTTGCTGGGACAAGTGGGTCCCAAGGAAAGCAAGAGCAAAACCTCAGGATTTCATGTTTCATACAATATTGGGCAGCAAAATAGCGAGGGATGGACTCTCAAGCTGTGCGATCACCTTTCTGACTTGCACCAACACAAAATAATCCCCAAATCTTCCTTATAGCTGGGGCCACCTCCAGTTCAACGGCATCGATCTCACAGGATGGCAAGTTGGCCTGATGGTACACCAAATCTGCTGCCTGCTGGAAGGTTTCTAGTCCACCATCGCCTCCGAGACTCCATCCATGAGATGATGGTTGACACCCTGAAAGCCTCCTTTTAATTACAAACCTGCCTGAAGCTGACTACTGCTAATTACCAGCAGGGTGGCAGCTCTTCAGAGCGTCTGCCCAAGGATGTGAGATCCCACATAGCGGTTTCCAGCACTAAATGGACTTTGGATGGGGAAGAGCAGCAAAAAGAGCCCTGGCCTCAAAAAGCCATATAGAGATGTCACTTTTGCAGCCGTGGTGATGCTGTTACATCAAGGAATGATACTATTTTGGGGAAAAACCAAGAAACATGGTTGTTTCTTCCCAGCGGGGCACCCGAGGGACCAGTTACAAATCCCTTCTGGGGGATGGTGCCATGGTCCTGGCTGGGTGCCGGGATTGGGATGCGCCATCTCCCCAGCGCTCTCCCCAGCACCAACCTCCAAATCAATCATTGTCCCAGACCACGTTTATTGGCTCCACAGCAGAAAGATACTTAATAAAGCAAACAAACCATGTGCGACTAATCCCAGGGTTGTGTCCCCAGCTCGGGTTTCTAATGGCTTTTCCATGCTGCTCCCAGCGCTCGACCCTTCTTCCGTAACGCCCCGTCCATCACCACTGTTTCAGGGCTGGGATGGTGAGGCTGGGATCGCCTCCCCGCCGGGCTCGGCGGCTGGAAAAGCCCCTTCTGTTTATTTACAGCAGCTCTTCTGCTCTTGCCCCACGTGCCAGAGCAAACATGCTGGGGCTGGGTTGCCGTAAGGCGGTTTT